TGCATTTTTCTAAGCTAGAGTGTGTTGCTAGCTCTTACGCTAATGATTGCAGCAGAATCCCAACCTCCTTCCACAAACTGTTTGTGGGAGGAGAGGTTACTGCTGAGCATCGTCTTGGACTTTGGATCCTCCTTTGAGTCCTTCAACAGCTAGATTCAGCCAGTGCCTTGTATGTAACATCAAGTTGGAAAGTCTTGCTGTCCCCATTTTACAGATGGACTTTTGAGAGACAGGAGGAATAAAGCCAAATGCTTCAAAGATACTTAGTGGAGGTTAAGTGCTGAGTTTCCTTTGAAGGTCTAAACCCAAATGACATGCTTGTGATCATGCAACAGATTTGTATCACCCATGGGAACGGAACCGTTTTTTCAGGGTAGTGTCATAACCACTCCACAATCCTTCCTCTTTCTTCTTCCTAAAGCTCCCACTGACTTCAAAGGTGAAGAATTATGGCCCGTATCCCACAGCACTGTGAGCTTGGACGTGTGTGCAGAGCTTTACCCACACATATGTTCCATCAGGGATACTGACTCAAGTAAAATTACACAAGCAGTGTGGAGGGGAAGAAACTTCTGCAAGGCTGGGACTTAACTTCTTTGTTGTTCTCATATTCTCTTCCTTTAACCTCAAAAGCTTAACTAAGAAATGCAGAGTGAGTTTGGGGTCCATCTATACTGTCCATAGGAGAACCATAACCCAAAATAAATAGGAATAGAAAAAAGGAGGAGTTCTAGCTGATTCAGTCCAGCTGATTCAGCTGATTCTTTCTTTTGAACACCTCTGAATGAATGAAATATATTATTGAGTTTCCATGGGAAATATGTAGCATGTGTATGTGTGTGTATATATATATGACTTGGTTAGATTCTCAGAAAACTGCATGGCTTACAGAGCCTGGACAGAATCTATTTATCCCTTGGCATGTGTATCCACTACAAAGTGAGCACACCCCAGGTGATGGGTAACACTGCGGTTTTCTGCTGATCCAACTGCTACTCTCCTAGATCAACAGCAAAATTAAGAGTTTGAATTTTTCAACAGTCACATCATCCACCTCACTATACGTTATTTAAATGTAGTAGCAGTGTTCAGCTATTATCAGGACGTCTCTCCCTCACCCATTGGCACAGCAAATGTCTCATCCACTCACGCTCAGTTCAAAACCACAAATACCTATCGTTAAAATGTTAAATTTATTTTTACACTGAATGGAATCAAAAGTATTTGATAAAGTGGAAGAGGGAAGGTGCATCCCTCTGGTGCATTCTTTAGATCATCCTTTTAAACCAACAGATTTTCCTTTAAAAAAAAACCAAACTTAAATTCTGGCTGCAGTTAAGAGCTTCCTAATTGCATGTGACTGTTTCTTGACTTCCGGATCCCTGTCTGGTGGTTAGGATGCCAAAGGGTTTCTTAAATCAGCAGGAGCAGCTGCCTCCTTGAAGCCAGGCATGGTGTATGTCACTGACTGTGGAAAGGAACTGCGATACAGGGAGGAGCAGAGGTGATTAATGGGGCCAGTGTCATAGCTCAGAGTGTGGTTGCACTACTGTGTATGGGCATAGTTACTTCAATCATTTATCTTCCTCCTTCTGCCATGCACACGCAGAAACATACGTGCATGTTTTATTTTTGCCAGTGATGGAGCAGTCATTAGAAATACAGGAATGCACAAGGTGCAACAGGACTTGCAGCTGATGATGTGCTTCTAGAGGTGATGCCTTTCTTTGACTTGTTCCTTGGAGAAGTATGAGAGATGTTGACAAAACCAAGTCCTTGGTTTTACATTTATTTCTCTGCAGATAAAGAGGAGGAGCAAACTGTTGGTTGAATGTGGACGTAGGATTGCAAATGATGGAGTTGCACAAGCTGAAGGAAGGTGCTTTCCTTCTTGGCAAAGGCCCTCTTGGTCGAGGTCTGAACACAACTTCTGTCCTTGGGCTATCTAGACCTCCAATGTCAAAGCTTTCCCCTGTTTGGAGTGGGATGCACAAAGCCATTTGGTCCCCTAGCATTGCTGCTCCTGCTTTGTGTAAGAGCAGGTTGTGCTCACAGGCAATGTGCTTTCCCCAAAGCATCTCAGGTGATTGGAGACCAGGTCCCATCAGTTCCCGCCTTCACTTCCCTTCAGCCAAAAGCAGGGAAAAAGAGACTTCTCTTATGTGGGTGTTGATCCTTCAGATGTTCCCCAAAAATTTCACCTTCCATTTCAGTCTCTGAAGGCTCCCCTGACTCCTGGCTCAGCTACATCAACCCATTAAACACAGAGCCTCAGTACAGAGGAGATACAAAGGCTTGTGGTAACCTGCATGGACCAACTGATAAACAGCTTTGTGTTGAAGAGGTTATGGCAAGTGTAAAATGGCTACTCATTCCTCAGACTGTATTCCTACACTAAAAATCTCTCCCTGCCTTTCACCAGGAATCAAAGCCACTACATCCTTTGCTGCCGTAGCCAGCAGCGTTTTACCCCTCTGATGCTGGCAGGCTGCTTCTGCGTCCCTTTGAGACAAACACACGTTCTTGCCAGACATGGAGGCAGCTCCCTTGTGCATTAACAGGAAACTGGTGTCTCCAATAGGTCTGGCTTAACGGCAGTTATTATTTGTTGAGTGCTGGCAAAGGGCTAAACTGAGAACAAGGTGCAAAGTGCTTGCATGCTCTGAGGAGTTCGCAAGGCACGCTGGCAAAGCCAAGCCATGCTGGAAAGCCTGGAGGAAGGAATGACTCAGGGTAACGCAACTGAACCCTTAAGGAGGGACGTGCTGTGAGAAGTACGGTGATTTGGCAAAGCAGGTTGAGAAGTCGTTTTGAAAATCAAAGGTCCAGCTGGTCCACGTGGCCCAAGAGGCTGGGGCAAGTCCCTGACAGCAGCAGTATGAACTCCAGCCACATGGGATTCCCCAGCTCAGATGTGGTGCCCATTTCTGTCTCACCCAGCTGGGTACAGCCTTTAGTGGGAATCCAGAGCAAGGCTTGTCCTTCTGCATAATGCACAGTGAGAAATCTCTCCTGCTTGGTCCCCTGCACGTTAGGAGAGCTGTAGATGAGGCTGCAATGAAAACACTTTAAGGAAAGCCACTGGGGAGATGGGAATGAGA